CCTTTAAACGAGCACTGACATAAGATTTCGAACGCGAGATGATTGGTGAAATACGTTTATGGGGACACACTACAAAATACAAAAGTAAATGTAGCCTTGAACATATTTAAAATCAATTTTGAAGTGTACACCACACAACTGAGCAAGATGCGGAGGCCCTCATGACACCGACATCAACGTGGCGGGAGTGTAAACCATTGTACATTACGAGTTTGAGTTGACTGTTTGCTTGGCACGTGCCTTAGGCTTGCCAATGGCTTTGCATGTGCTGGCTGTCAATGAAACACAGCCTCGCACATACTTATGCGCACGGCGCACACGTCAAAGTAATGCGTGGTCACATGGACAGCCGTGTTTACCTTCGCACCAGAACTGCTCCTGCCCAGCTCGGTGCTCTTTGAAACCGGAACTGCGACTGGGCACTCTAAAAATGTCTCTAAAAAATAACCGTTCTGCACTCTGGCAAATGAAGTTCCCAGCTGTGATAAGTTGGTCATAAGCTACCCATTGAAACCAAAAATCCAAGGAGAGAAAGCTTTGTATCAGTGCTCCTTTAAGCGAACCGCAAAAAACATAACGTTAAAGTTTTATTTTTTGCATCATGCAAACTGTCAAAGTTGTGTGCTTTGACTGACAGTGAGAAGCGCCGTGTTTGCATGCACTATGAAACAGCAAAACAAGTATAAAGTGTGCATTTTTCCCATTGTTTACAGCATTCCCCCGAGATGTGGCCACCAATACATCGGTCAGACCAGCCGATGTTTAACGAGAAAGCTAAAGAACATGATTTGAATGTGTGCAATCAAACAGGACATCTGGGTGAGCACCGCCAGCATTGTGGCTGTACTGCTGATTTCTACTGCTAGCAGCTTCGTAAGAAAGTGTAAAATAAAGTTGAATGTGAAATAGCAGAAGCTTTCTCATTTATAAAGCTGGGGACAACCGCTAGCAGCCCTTCCATTGTTTTGTCAGACACTGAGGTTGATTATCTCAAAGGTTTTATTCATTCGTCGGTTTCACTCGCATATCTCTGTCTCTTATGTCTTGATTTTGTCGCCATGTTTTGCTACATTTTATTTGTTGCTCATAGTGCTTTTTTGTTCCTGCAAGCAAGCTCCATGTGAATTTATCTGCCAGTGAAACAAACTGTTAAAATTGTTTTTATCGCTGTTCGTCAGTTCTGGCAAAACATGATTGTCACAGTGATTTTCGAGCGATTATGGCACACATATATGCACTGGCAAAGGCAATAAAAATCAATTGCAAGGAGACACCCCTCGCATCTAATGTGTCTTTCTGTGCACGTGTTTCATGGCCCTGCACCCAACAGTTAGACCGCTTAGTTAATTACAGAATTTCCTGGGTTGGGTATTGATGAACTTGGATGAACGTGCTCAATACATATAAAAAATCTGTCGAGTGACTGCTGAAATACAGCGAAGTCAAGAAAGGGTACTGCTTCTAGCACTTAGCGTTTATGCACACTGCCTTGGAACTCTCTTGCAGGTTTAAGGCACACGCAAAGCTCCTCTACAATGTGGTAAATTGAGAAGACTCAAAATGACCAAAGAGACTTTAGAATCTGTGCAGGTGTGTACACCTGCAAGTAAAAGTATACAGACCACAGGAATACATGCCAAAATTGCCATCTGCACTGTCAAGTGATGAGCCATCTGGTGTTCAGAGCACTACTTTGGCCACCCATTCACCTGAGCAATGCTCTCGATGACAATCTGCCTTTTCTACAATGCCACGGCACATATGCCATTCCCAAAATGAAAAAGCTGTGAAATGCCTTCCCCCCCCCCCCCCCCACGAGGCCTTTGTTCTGGCGATATTTGTCCTGGCTCTTACAAAAGCCCAACCAAAACAGCAAAGGGTAGCATATAAAAATGATAGGCAGATTTTGGCACACCATCCTGTAGTCCATACACTGCTACACAGGAAATTCACCCAAAAATAAGGATAGGCCGGAGGACACATTGCAGACATTCACAAATTATGACAGGCAATTTACCACTCTCTCTAAAGCAAACGGTCTACACCCATTGCATATTGCAAGTTATAACATATGGGATTAAAACTTAATAATGCAGAAACTGGAGGAAAAGTGAAGGACCACACAGTGCACAATAGAATAAAAAAATTTATGGATTATACACATAGCAAAACAGTGTTGTCACAAAATCTGCAAAATGCTGAATTCTAGTTGACATTCAAAAAAGAAAAAAAAGAGGACTGACAGTGGATCCTGTAATGCACGGCAGAAAGAACTGTTGGTCCGTTAGCCAACAGAATGGATACCCACGGGTGGGAAATGCTGCCAAGGGTGGCAGTGAGTTAGGTGGCATCATGAAACTAAGAAGTTTGCAGAAATAAAGCGGAGTCACCTCGCGCAGGTCAAGGTAAATTACTGATCACTGGGAGAGTACAGGCTTTTGTCCTGAGGTGAACATAAAATTGGCCAATTTATAATTACAGTTATACACTAGTAATGCACACAATTTTCACAGACATATTACAACATTACAACTAAGAGAAAATAAAAAAGATGCAATATAATCTGTTTTAAAATAACTATTTAAAAATATTACGTGTCAAATCTACAAAGTAAATAAAACTTGAACGACGCCCAAGTGAGGTACTTCGGATAGACAATGACTGTGTCAAAGTACATAAATAATTCTTCATTTCGTCCTGACCAAAACAAAACAGCCACAGCTATAATTAAACTCGCAATCGTGTGATCTCCCACAGAGCTGTGATGCGTGCACAGCTGTATTAATAGAATTGCGTTAGAGAGCTCGTGTCACAGAAATTCCGCCAACGACGTTGGCACTGTTGGTTGTGAGCAAAAAATCATCTGTGAGCGAGAAATCGAGAAAGAAGCAAATAAAGTAAAAAATATAATTCTCGGTCCCTCTGAGAATACAACTTGGGCCACTCGCGTGGCAAGCAGGTGTCCTACCACAAAGCCACGATGTTACTTGCAGCTGTGTCGGGAAAAAGCCCTACATAAATGCCATGTAGTTGAGTCTCCTTCACGGATTTTGTTCGACAGGTGTCACGACGAAAACGAGCCCCTTCGGCGATTTGTAAGCGCATTTGGGAGGCCATCAAACTACATCGAAAAAGGCCGCGATAGTGCAGCCATCGCCGCTAAAAACACTTTCAAACAGCTCTAAAAATGCATAACTATGTCCATCTAGCAGAAAACATATCATGTTTTTCTAGACGCGTTCATCAAGCAAACAGCAAATGCTAGATAATGTGCTGCCACCTCTGAGGCATTGTGAAACTTGGGCCTCCGAGATGGCGAGCGCACGTCGTGTATCTTGGAGGCCATGCGACACTTGCTTTAGATGAAAAGCCCGTATGTACCAGGAGCGCGCGCGTGTTGATGGATGGATGTGGCTGTACCCTTTAGATCGGGCGGCGGCTAACACCAGCTAGCTGTAATATTTGGTGAACTGACCACTAGATTTATCTTTTTTTTTTTCCTTTAAATAGTGAGGTTGAGGATTTCTACTTTGCAGTGAAGGGTTTAATTTTCACTCGTGCCTTGACTTTAGCCACCAATCAGATAACCTCCTTCTAGTTAATTCTACCCACTTAAAGTCTATTTTGTCCTCCCTGTCCCTAAACCCCAGTGCTTTGAAAAACTCTGCGCCATCATCCTGAACTATAGGGTGAAGCCCTTTACAGAATATCACGTGTTCAGCAGTTTCTTCTTCCTCTCCACACGCACTGCATACTGCGTCTACCCCTTCGTATTTGGCCCGATATGTCTTGGTTGGCAATACTCCCGTCCTGGCCTCAAACAGTAGAGAACTACCCCAAGTATTATCACAGATCCTTTCCTTGGCAATTTCCTGCTTAAAAGTTCGATAGATCTCTAGTGCAGACTTCTTAATCATGCCAATTCTCCACATGTCAGTCTCCGTTTTCTTCACTTTCTTCTTAACCGATAGTTCTTTTTGGTTTGGCCACCTGCTGTTTTCTAAGTATTTACCAATCAAATTCCTGGTTTCCTTACTCCATTTTGTATCGACATTCTTCATGTAGAAGTAGCTGAAAACCTTCCTAGCCCAATGCTCCTTTCCCATTTCTCTCAATCGTTTCTCAAATTTTATCTTGCTGCTAGCTTCCCTGCCCTCAAATGATGTCCATCCCATATCCCCTTGTATTCCCTGATTGTGTGTGCCTGTGTGTGCGCGCCATCTGTGAGACATTGTGAAAAACGTGTCTCGACTACAGCAGAGCGCCGTTATAGCAGAGGGAAGTAGCCACACTGCACCGTCACTGCACGCTTGTTTGTGTGTGTGTTTGTGTGTAACAAAACATATTAACAAGTATGCACTTAGCAGTTGAAGGGCGCACTAGGAACCGGATTTCGCTATCGCGTTCAACTCTGAAAGGCGAAGTTTAAGGGTCCCCCAATTTTTTTTTATTTTTCTAATTAGCACACAGACGAAGCAACAATATTAGTAATGAAAGGTTTAAGAGACATCATACAACACACTGCCTACAAAAAAAGTTTGAAAGCTAGACGGTTATCACTGTATTTAATGGATAATCTGCGGGCGCCCGCATCCAGGATGAGGAACTGTAACATCGCTGACAGCGTTAAAGATACTCAGTGGTTCAGAAAAAGCAGAGCTCACAACTTTAAGGATGCTACACCACATACCAAATCGGCGCAACATGATAGGCACTGAAGGCATTTAGTACTGCTTCCAAAACGTTGAAGCGTTGAACAGCTTTTACATTCACATTGCGAAAGCCCTGAAACGTGCTTCCTTGTTGCTTTCATAATGACCGTTATAACTTCAAAAAGCAGCTGTTCTCTTCTGTTTTGAAATATGCATTAATTGAGAAAACGGAGTCTTTGCCTACCTTTGATCTTTTCTTCCAAACTCTTCATGTTATAACTTCAAAAAGCAGCTGTTCTCTTCTGTTTTGAAATATGCATTAATTGAGAAAACGGAGTCTTTGCCTACCTTTGATCTTTTCTTCCAAACTCTTCATGTTATCCAGCGGTCGAAGTCGAACAGAACGAGACAATGCTGGTTCCAAACGACCGAAAGCCCGAAAGCTTTTCAGCAATGCGGCCAGGGTGGCCATTGCCTTGCCTAGTATACACTTACAGCCTTACTTACACTGTAAATGATAACATGAGCTTGGTAGGCGCTTACGTTGCTTTAGAATAAAAATATCTGTTAAAACGAAGCGGCCGCAGACGCTGCCGACTACCACATTACCATGCCATGCCACAGAACACCTACCGCCATGCCGTGCCAGCTTTGGATTGGAACGTAAGGTTTGGATTGGATTGAATCATTAGACTCGTGCCGTTCGTGCGCATAAAAAAAAAATCTCAGGATGAAAACACATGGGCACTTTTAATCAGGATTATGCGTGATCGGAATCAAGACTATCGCAATTCGCGCATCGCGATCTGCCTGAAAGATTATAATTTTGCTGTCGTCTGCACAACCTGGCCAAACTTGTTTGAGCACAGTTCAATAAAAACACTGAAAAACAACTACATATTTATATAAAAAAAGCAAATTCTAAACTGTTTAAATTGGAGCAGTACTTTAATATAGAATGGTTCAAGATTCGTATCGACCACATGTAGTTACGAGAGAAGCAGACGACCACAGCAGACGACAAACAGACGACCATTGCCTTCCGCGCTTAGTTCAACCAGAGTCCTTCAATGCTTGGACTCTGGTTCAACTATCGCACCGTCGGATCTGTTTGAGCCATAGAGTTTCTCAAAATTAACTAGAGGGCATTCTGGCGCTGCGATCGTTCAGTGACAATGGGAATGATGGGTAGTACACACATTTGCCTAGTCGTCGTACTTGCGGGCGGCAAATCATACTTGCGGCTCCCTTTATTGCTGTGTTTCGGTTTGTTTTGAAAGAAAGATTGAACCCTTTTGAACTTCGTGAGCCAATTTGGAAAGTAAGTCTTAAAAAATAAAATTTTGAAGCGCAACCACTGAACATTTGCTAATACTTGTTTCGTAAGAAAACAGCTCCAAGCCACACGAACACACACGGAGCCAAAGGCAGGCCAGAAGTATGAAGACTAGACAAATGTGTGTACTACCCATCACGGAGGAAGGAAAAAGTGACTACCCATCATTCCCATGCTCGTTTAAGCGCCGTGCGTTGCAGCTCCCATAAGCACGAGTGCCAGAGTTCCCTCTAGTAAGTATTGTGGGGAAACTCTATGGTTTGAGCAACGCCTCCTCTAGAAAGATGCCTGAGGAATGGCTCGCGCTCCCAGCGGAGTTGGCTTGCCTTCAGTTTTAAACAAGCTCCGCGCGGTGGCGCTCGCGACCAACACTATCAAGACTATCGCAAGTAGTTTTGAGGGAGGGAGGGAGCAAACCAGCAGCCGTGACTCACGCTAGTCACCTAGTCAGCAGCCAGGTGCAGGTTTCAGAAGGAATGTCTGAACAGGTCATCATCGCCGGTGACTCAAATTTGGTCCGATGCGCAGCGGCAATCAAAGAAAGGGTGAAAGGCGACAAGAGAGTTGCGATAGGGACGTTCCCAGGACAAACGCTGGGGACAGTAATGAGTCAAGCGGGTGAACAACTCGCAGCTAAGGCTGGCAATCGTAACCTCGTTGTAATTGCGGGAGGGTTAAATGACGTCCTGAAAAAAGAATCGTCAGGACTAGCGACGGCCTTGGCGAGAGGGGTGGATGACATGCGCACCGTGTCCCCCCAGGTGCAAATTGTAGTATGCACAGTACCGGAAGTACCGGTGCGCAACGTCAACCTGCGAAGAGCGGTTGTCGACGCAAACAAGGAGATATGGCGGATTAGTCGAGAGAAGGGTTTCGAGGTAGTGGATTTAAACAGGGAAGTGCACAGGTGGGGTGGATTCCAAAGAGACAGGATTCATTTCGATAAGAGGCTTGGACACGAGGTGGGCTGGCGACTGGCAGGACGCGCAGTAGCTTTTTTGGGGGGCTCACGGGCTCTTCGGAGTCCGGGGTAGCTCGTAACAGGGAAAACAACCAGGAGGACGCTTTGACAGGTAGAATTGCGAAAAACCAGAAAAAAGGTAAAAGAAAAAGGAAAAAGGCGCGTGTTGCAATTAGTTACATAAACATGCAGGGTGGCAGAAAGAAGGCAAAATGGTTAGAGATTGAGGAGCAGTTAAACAAAGAACAGATAGGCGTGTATGCGGTTACAGAAACACACCTTAGAGACTTGGAAGAGCCACCACATATTAAAAATTATGTTTGGGAAGGGTGTAACAGGACCATATCGGAAAGGAAAGGTGGGGGTGTAGGAATGCTAATTCACCGCGGAGCCAAATGGGTTAGAGTGAAACAGACGTGTTCAGAGCACCTCTGGGTTCGGGGCACAGTAGGTGGAAAGGAAACGTGGCTAGGGGTAGCCTACTTGTGGACGGGGAATAACTGCAGAGAAAAGAATCAGGAGATAGTGGATTGCATGAGTGCGGATATTAAGGAATTTGGTGATGGGGCCGAAATCATCCTTCTAGGGGACATGAATGCCCACATACATGACCTTGACGGATATTCAGACACCAATGGGAAGTTATTAGTAGATCTTTGCGAGCAACATAGTCTGGAGATAGTTAACACGGGGCCTAAATGTGACGGCCAGATCACATGGGAAGTCGGAAACAAGCAATCAAGTATTGATTATTGTCTCATGACTGAAGGAATTTACCACAAACTGACAGAAATGAGGATAGACGAGGAAGGCATTAACAGCTTGGGTAGTGATCATAAACGAATAACATTACAAATGGGATACGAAACTGAAAATATGAGCATGGAATCAAAGTCTGGCAGCTCGTATTTAAATGACAAACAAATAATAAATATAGCCGCAAGAGTCGAGGAAGAAGTAGGCGAAATACCAGGCAAGGACTGGGAGTATAGTGAGCTGTTACATCTAATGACGAAGGAGATAGGGAAAGAGAAGAAAACTGTTTGCTGGAAAGGAAAAAGGAAGCCAAAAAGTTGGTGGAACAAGGAAATCCGGGAGGCGATCGAGAAGCGACGCGAAGCCTCACGGGAGCATAGAAAGGCAAAAAAGGAGAAGCGGCCGCAGGACGAAGTAAAAAAAATATGGGAAATATATTTAGAGAAAAAATCCCTTGTACAGAAATTGGTAGAGGCAAAAATTAAAGGTGAAAGTGAACGCTGGATGACAGAGATACACGAAAAAAGGAGGCCGCGCCTAGGATTTTTTGGAGCCACATAAAGGCGCTAGGTAGGAAGTCTGTCACAACGCAACAACATATTCTAGATGAAGGAGGAAATCAATTGGAAGGGTACGAAGCGCTAGGTTACATCCAAAAGGTAACAGCCGATTCGTTTCAAAAGAGCGTCCAGGGGATCTCCCCGGTGAGTAAAAGTGTGGCGGAGAAAGCAACAGAGGAAGAGCTAGTACTTGATAATTTCAACTGGAAAAAGGCCGAAGGAAAAATTCCAAAGCGCACTGCCGCGGGTTTAGATGGGATTCCCGTTAGCCTCATTAACGAACTAGGACATAACACTAAAGAAGCATTGTTAAAAGCAGTAGAAAAAAGCTTAAAGGACGGACAAATACCGGACAGTTGGCGACAAAGTAGAATGAACTTAATCTATAAAGGCAGGGGAGAAAAGGACAAGATTCGCTCGTATAGACCACTAACCATTACATCGGTACTATACAGGATGGCGATGCAAGCAGTAAAAATGAAAATAGAAACATGGGCCGAACATAACGATATTTTGGGAGAACTTCAGAACGGATTTCGAGTCGACAGGCGGTTAGACGATAACCTGTTTGTTCTCACTCAGTGTATAGAAATATCCAAAATAGAGAATAGGCCCTTGTACGTGGCTTTTCTAGACATCACTGGGGCATACGACAACGTTAATCAGGAAATTTTGTGGGATATATTGAAAGGAATGGGCATGGGCGACGACTGTATACAGCTTTTGAGGGAGATATACCGAGAAAATACAGTTTGCATAGAGTGGGAAGGAATGCGTAGCAAAGAGAACGTTGAGGTTAGCAGGGGTCTGAGACAGGGATGTCCTTGTCCCCGCTGTTATTCATGCTGTACATGGTGAGTATGGAAAAAGCGCTAGAAGGTAGCAACATTGGTTTTAATCTGTCACACAAACAGGGCGGCATGATGATTGAGCAGAAGCTTCCAGGTTTATTTTATGCGGACGATATCGTCTTATTTGCGGACAGTCGAGATGATATACAGCAGCTGGCGAATATATGCGGAAGGGAAGGTGAAGCTCTTGGACTAGGATTCAGTGTAACGAAGTGTGGATTGATGGTATTCAATGATCCCTGTGATCAGACGGTGTCCATACAAGGCCAAGAAATACCGAGGGTAAGTGAATACAAGTACCTTGGAGTATGGGTAAATGAGAGTGATAGATACATGGAGGTACAGGAAAAAGCCTCGGCAGCAAAAGGAAAGAGGAATGCGGCAATAATGAAGCACAGAGCGTTGTGGGGATACAATAGGTATGAGGTGCTTCGAGGTCTGTGGAAGGGTGTAATGGTTCCAGGGCTTACTTTTGGGAACTCAGTGGTGTGCATGAGGGCAGAGGTGCAAGCGGGAATGGATGTAAATCAAAGGACTGTGGGACGCCTCGCGTTGGGTGCTCACGGGAAGACGACAAACGAGGCTGTAAAGGGCGATATGGGGTGGGCAGGTTTTGAGGCGAGGGAAGCGCAGAGCAAAATAAGGTTCGAAGAAAGGCTAAGAAATATGAAGGAGAGTAGATGGGCAGAGAAGGTGTTCCGTTATTTGTATAGGAAGAGCGTGGACACACAGTGGAGAAAAAGAACTAGAAGACTCACTAGTAAGTATACGGCTGGTATTGTAAGCCGTATGTCAACAAAGAGCGTTAAGGGAAAAGTCAGGGAGGCGGAGAGGATTTACTGGATGGCAGCTATGGAGAAAAAACCGGCTTTGAGTAACTACCGAAAGAGCAAAATGAAATAAGGAGGGAGGCATTTTACGATAATTCAAGGGGAAGCGCTTTACTGTTTGAAGCGAGATCGGGTTGCCTTAGAACGCGTAGTTATAAAGCAAGATTCAGTAAAGAAGAAGAACAATGCACATGCTGCGGGAAAGATAAGGAAACGGCGGAGCATGTTCTGATTGAATGTGGAGATATCCACCCAGGTGTACGTTTGGGCACGAGCCTACAGGAAGCCTTGGGTTTTAGGGACAACAATGGAAAGCTGAACACACCCGCGATTGAAATAAGTAAGAGACGGTTAGAGTATTGGTGGCAG